AGTCTAATTTTTTTTGGTTTTAGGGTTTATTACCGGGCAACTCCTAATCGAGTAAATAATTTTCTAATTTCAGAACATAATTAAATCTTACTCATTTTATTTTAGATACTAGACATATTTATTTATAACATATCCAAAAATTAGGTCTAAATACCAAGTACACAATTAATTACAAATTTTTGAAACTTAGGGAGCAATCTGCCTAATAGTAGTTTATCTAGAGCTATCCATACTAAATCAGGTGTAACTCTTTGTACATGAATCCAATGACCAAGAACATTTTAAAGGGAGTTAGTTGAAACATATATGAACAACTTTTATTCTTTAAGTTTCACCCAGAAATCGACCTAAAATCCTTGAACATGCACCCTAAAATTCGGACAGAACTTACTCCTTATCAACACTAATTTATTAGTTCATTCCAAGCCAACTTTAAACATGTTTTAGTTCACTTAAATTTAGTCCAAGTTCAATCCAACTCATCACCACATACTTGGACATTTTTCAAAACATCATAACATCATAAATCATCACAACAAGGCATCCATATATAGATTTATCCCAAGCATCAAGCATATAACCATTGAAAATTATTACAACCCATAAAATGAACACTAACAAAATAACTTTAAAAAAAATAATTTAAGACATTAATCAGCAAAAAAAAAAATGAAACCTACTTGCCTCTTTTAGGTTTGATTAGAATTTCCTTAGCTCTTTTCCTTTTCTTTTTCCCTTTCTCTTTTTCTTTCCTTTCCTTTCTCTCCTCATGTTTTTCTTCCTCTCTTTTCTTTCTTGCCTTTTCTCTCTCAATTTTTGGTACCTACGAGTTACTAAAATTTTTCTCCCATTTTAACACTTGCTATATATATATGTACTTACTTTCATTTAGTTACAAGTGTTAGAAATTAATGGGATAAGGTGTAAAGGTTATGGGTGAGTCATGAGGAAAGTCAGGTCGCTTTGGAATCCATAATGGGTGAGTTGGCATTAAATTCATTTATTGCATTTACTTAGGTGTCTATATAAAATTTAGACTAATTAAAATCATTAATTAACTTAATTCAAGTAACTAAAACTACTTTCTTTCATAAAAATTCGGAAATTTTCATTTTAAAAAATTCGGAATTTCTTTTCCCTCCCAAAATTCCAGCAGTGTTTCCTCCTAACCCATCTATACTAAAATATGCATAACTCTTTCTATATGTATCAAAAAATTATGAAATTTTATAGAGAGCTAGTAAACACATAGAAAAACAACTTTTATTCTTTAATTTTTGCTCAAAAATCAATCTAACAGCATCAAATAAATCTCACAAGAGTCGGGCAGATTCTTCTCCCAAAATTTCAGCAGAATGCATTTCGAAACAACCCTCACTATAATTGGTATAAATCTTAATGTATAGGTCTAAATATTATAAAATTTTATACAGATCTATTCAACACATAGATGAACAACTTTCATTCTTTAAGGTTTACCCAAAAATTACCCTAAAGTCCTCAAATAATTCACATAAAACTCAAGTAGAATATAGTCCTTAAAACACTCGATTTTGCATATTTGATTTCTTTAATAATTAAACCATTAATCTTAAGCACAATAACTTTAATTTAACATAAATCACATATTTCAATCATTCATTTCTCATGATGAAATGATAATTATACTTACTCTTAATATACATATATATATAGAATTATTCTAATACACGTCACGTTACGGATAAGGGTTTTTACGGGAGTTACGAGTAAGAGCATCAATAGAAACAATAACAAGCTTTCATTCACCGTGATTAATTTTTTTTTTATCAATTAAATACAAAGAGCTTCTTCATAGATAGAACAAAGAGATAAGGAGAGAGAGGACCACCTTATCGAAGGCCATGTTTAGGCTAAAAGGCATCCAATTTATGACCATTCCAAACAATAAGCAGAGTTACACTAGACATACAATACATAATCAAACATATTTAATTTTTTAGAAAGCTAGGAAGAGTAACATTCACAAAAACATAACATCATCCATAAATAGTAGATAGGAAATAGTAAGAGCATCAGTAGAAATACTAACAAGCTTTCATTCACCTTGTTTAATTTTTTTTATCAATTAAATACAAAGAGCTTGTCTCTATAGATAGAATAAAGAGATAAGAAGAGAGAAGACCACCTTTTCGAAAGTCATCCTTAGGCTTAAAGACATTCAATTTATGACCATTCCAAATACTAAACAGAGTTGCACTAGAAATACAATACATAATTAAACATATATAATTTTTTTAGAAAGCCAAAATTAAATCTACTTTTCCGAATAAATATCTAATCAACTTTATCATATGTTTTAGTTGAATCAATTTTTATACATCAAGAAATTTTAATAGTATGTAGAAGTTTTTGAGCATTCACCGTATTATCATATGCCTTCCTACCAATTATAAAGCTAGCTTAAACTAGGCTGATTAACTCATTCAAGATGGGATGAATTATATGCACAAGAACTTTACTTAGAATTCTATATGAGGCATTGTTAAAACCGATATGCCTAACTTGGGATGTTACTATAGAGCTTTCCTATTTAGGAATGAATGAGTTTCAAAGAGAGATGGGGAACCATTTTAGTATCGAAGGCCTTTTACACCATCTAAAAGATAGTATCTCCAATAATATCCCAATATTTCTAAAAGAAGATAGGTTGCTATCCATCTAGACAAAGAGCTTTGTATGGCTTCTTCTCTTTCACTATAGTAAATATCTCCTCTTTAGAAATATACACCATAAGCAATTGACAACTCTCCATAGACACTTTTGAATAAAATGTCAACATGGGGAAATGGTTATTTGATTTGTTTAACATAGTAAAACAATTTAGAGAAATGAGATCTTACCTCATCCTTAATAACCGTATCATCCATATATAATTCTCCATTGGTTAACCAAAGCCTTTCTATATGATTTCTCTTTCTTTCACACATAATCATAGTATGAAAAAATTTGGTGGCTCTATCCTCGTACTAAAGCCGCTTGACACAAGATTTCGAAACCACAATAGTTCTTGTTGTAAAACCTTATTATATTCATTTAAGTAATTATGCTTCCAAATCAACTAAATTATTTAAATGTTTGTAAGTGAGATACTTCGAATTTCACCCAAATGAGTTAGTAAATGACTCTTTCTACGTAAAATATTCCTAGAGACCTTATGAGCAAGAACAAAACCATTAAAATTATAACTAAAAAAAGAGATAGATGACACTTTTTTGCACCTTCATACAAAACAACATTGTTTTGGATTACCAAAATAGCAGCTTTCGATGTCTTTTTTTTTTTTTTATTTGCTTTCCTCACAACACAATATCCCTTTTTACTTGAACCCTCGAAGCATGAACCACCTGCAGTAATTGCATCGGTAATAGATTCTTTACAAGGCAACCAAGCATCATGAACCATTTTAGGGCACTCATCATGAGTCATTGATGTTGGATTGAGAGATGCTAAACTCTATGAAGTTCAAACACACAAGCAACAAACAAGTAGTCCTAGGCCGAAACACTCAATCTATAAATCATCCTTAATTACACTCTAAACAAATCTCAAACAACACACTATTATAAGCCAAACCACAATCAACTAGATTCTCAAACACAAAAACACACAAAATCCACAATCTCCAAATAATTAATTATGAAATCCGAATCTAAAGGAGACAAGTTGACCTAGAAAATCAATTAAAATTTAGCTTAAATTTTAATACAACATAGATAATGTCTAGAAGTATGTGTGTATCAAAATTTAGGTTAACTAACCTTTGTAGCCCCTTATTTCAATAAGTCAAAATTCTAGACGTAATAGGTTCCAGAATTTAAAATGATTTTGACACCCCAAAACCCACTTAAATATTTTTGTAATTTATTAATTTTTTTACTGGAGCTAAATAAACCCCTTAACTAACTATTGTCAAAATTTCAAAAAAAATAAAAAAATCTCTAGCCATGGTTATTAGCTTTGAGATCGAATTTATTCAATCTTATTATCTAGATTAACTTATAATTTATCAAGCAAACACTAAAATAAAAGTAAGCCCGAATGCCTCACTCATGCGAAAAATCCTCCACTCAAGTTGATTTAAAGAGTATTTACGGGATACGTTTGTCAAGAGTTCACCTAACGTAATTATTGATTTAAGTCCACCTTAGTCGATCACTTTGAGAATATGTTCACGACGTCCTAGTCAATCTAAGCAATGGAGACACGTAAGAAGTTGTAGAGAAAACTTGATTAAAAAAGAAGCACAAAGTGTTTTAAATACTTAGACAAAGATCTAAAGAATTAGCTAGGGTTGAGTCTTTTCTTCCTTGGTCAATTATGACTTTTTTCCTAAATAGAACTCTTTTTTCTAAATAGAATTCTTTTTCTTACTAGATTTGTATTTATGTCATCCGTATTCAATTTAGTACTTAATTAATTCAATCTAATTAAATATAGATTCACATATTACATGGACTCATAAATAAATAATACTAAATAAATAAAGATCCACGACACATAAGGATTAATCATCCATCTAAGCCTCACATGGCCATGTCCTAATTTACGTAGGGAACCTGAATCCCATGAGTACTAATTAACTATCCAAGTCCATATAATTAAAAATAACTCAAATAAATAAAATTCAATATAAATAAATAAAATAATTAGACAAAGAGCTAAAAGATTCGGTCACTGTGAAGAGTCAAACTTTTGGCTAAGTGGAAAATGGATGCTCCGGCATCATAGAGTCATCCAGGCAGCTTGAAAGTAGGAAGGCCTATAATTAATAGGAGGAAAATACCCTATCAATTTAATCAACAGAGGATTATGATCAGAATAGGTCATGGGCAAGTGAAAGACCGAAGCATCATGTTATTTCAAATGCCAATCCATCTTGCAAAGAGCCCTATCCAATCTTATATGAGTAGTAATCCACCGATGAACTCTTCTGATATAGGTAAAAAGAGTACCATTATTTACAGCCATGATCCAGCAAATCCACAAGCATTCATATCATCGTTGAATTTAGCAGCACGAGGCTGACAAAAAGGAACCTCCCCTCTTCTCTTATCACCGAAGTCTCCAACTAAGAACCACGAAAGATAAGAAGACTCCCTCATTTCCGTTAGATTATCCCATAACAGCTCTCGATTTGTAGCTCTAGTGCTACCATACACAACAGAGCATAACCAAGAACAAGCTTCACTTTCTGCTGTTTTCAGAGACAAGCATTAACCATCAGACAGACCATTTGAATTCCATAGAGCCCAAATACCACCAGTTAGCCCAGTTGCATCAACTCTCGTCCACACAGTCAAAACCCAATTTCATAGTGAAACAGCAGCAGCTCTGTCCCCCGATATACCAGTTTCCAACACAAACAGAAATTTTGACTTACGAATATTCACAAGGTCCTTTAGAGAGCGGCGAAATGCATAAAAAAAATCAAAAGGTGACTAGATCACTCCCCCAGTTGAGGTTCAATGGCCACCACCCAGGGCAGAGTTTAAAACCTCCAAATTGACCAAGAAATAATCAGGCCAATATCTAGAACATCCGGAGATTCATTGGGTTTCCACATTGGTGAATTTTCGTACAAGACCTTATACCTAATATTTTTGCCAAGAACCTTGACAATCAAAGCATTTTGCCATCGGTGCATTAATTAGCAGATCCATTAAATTATCAGAGATAGTAAATTCAGCACATAGCATGTTACTATCTATAAATGACATGGTAATTATAATTATGTTCGTGGCTAATAAATTCACTGGATCAGGTTCCGCTCTCTTCTGAAACTTCCCTGTAACTTTCTCCATAAAGGAGGAGGGTTTTGTACAGGAACCTGATTGTATGGGATTGATTCTTAGCTGTGGGCGCAGCCTTTTGGGGTTTCATGGGTTTTCTGGGAAATAAATAGATTTTTGGTTAAAACAGAAATTTAATAAAACGTTTTGTATTTTTCTTTAATATGTCGGCAAAAGTGGTGCCAAACAGACGGAAAGTGTTTTCCAGGCTCATCCAATTAACCTCCCGCCCTAGAACCTAAATCCCATCAACGGTTAAACCACTGCCACGTCATGTGAACTCAACGACGAAATCAACTGCCACCTTCATCCTTTTTATCTCTCTACACAACTACCACTTTTCTCTCTCTCCAAAATCTTTCTGTCTCTGGATCTGTCAGAGCGAAACTAAAAATAAAGAAAATATCCAAAATCAACAAACAATTAATTCATCCATGTAGATCGTCAACCTCTCAGCAAATCAGATTAAAAATAACTCTAATTTTCTCGCAATGGACGAGACATTTTTCGATCTAATGGAGTTTTTAAAGAAACCTTCAGTAACTGAAACATTCGTCGACATTTTGCTATGTGCAGTACCGATATGGCTAGCCGTTATGATAGGGCTCGTGATTGGTTGGTCTTGGCGGCCTAGGTGGACCGGCTTGGTCTTTCTTGGCTTCAGGAGCAAGTTTAGGTTCCTCTGGACCGCGCCTCCTGGATTCGGAGCTCGGCGTCTTTGGCTCGCTTTTACAGCTCTATCTGCTTTCTCTGTTTGCCGCACCATTTGGTCCAATTTCAAGGGTAAAGATGGAAAATCAGTACCCGCCGCTGCGACTTCATCTTCGGGAGCCTCGCCGAGGAATTCGGGGGAGAGACGTGGCGGTTCTGTTAGGTTTGTGGCATTTCCTTTTCTTTTCTAATTTGCTATCATTTTTTGTCGATTTTAAATAGCTATAAGAATATTTTGGTTGCGACCTTTTCTGATTAATTGCGAGATTCAGATTTGAAATTTCTAATTGCAATGAAATTAACTTGTGTTTAATTCGCACTTCGCACCGGAAACCTGATATGCTAGATATATTCATGTCTTGTTTGGGAAAATAGTTTTAGGGGTATAAAATACGAAGTCCTGGTGATATTAACTGATGTCAAGCCACTGTTTTGAAGATTTAAAGCATCTGTCACTTCTGTGTTTTGATTATTGAAATTTTTAATAGTAATGCATCTGGCAGTGTCTAGTGTTATAAGCATTAGGAATGATTAAACAGCATTTGTAATGCCAATGTTATTTGGTTTCTTAAATGCTTTTATTGGGCAGTGTCCTTTATTCGTTGCATGGTCAAAAAATAGATTATATAGGTTCTAGTGAAATGTCACGTGTATCAGAAGAGAGAAACAGGGATTGTGTGCTTCAAGAAAAATTCTGTATTCCTGCCATAGGTAATTTATAGTGTGTAACATCCACCTGAATTATGTCATGAGAGTGATTGTGTGCTTTAATTGAAAGGCAATAATATGCGGGTTCTAATGGACAAGAATGTGATCCAAAAATTCTCTGTGCATGCAAATATCCATTCTATTAGTGCAGTTTGTTACACTTTCAGGCAATGGATGTTCGAAGTTCCTTCTGACCTCTCTGGATAATATAATATATGATAATTGTAGCTTTATCTCAAAAAAAAAAAAAAAAAAAAGAGTCTCTCTTATGATATATGATAATTGTAGGTTGTAGCTATTATCTAGCGATGATCTCAGACAGTTTCTTTGAAACAGTAACTTCTGAAGTGTTGACAAACTCTCTCTCTCACACACACGAAATATGTGGATGGTTTGATTGGATTATTGTAGGGTGATAATTGATTTTTGGCTTTTACTTGTTTGGGTTCTTTCCATAAAAGATACCTTTGCTATCATTAATACGTTCTGGAAATGGTGAACTGCTGGTTCATGTACATGACTTGGTTTGTGGCATGGTACTTTCATGCAGCTCTGCTGGTGAGCCAGAGGACAGGGAGGACATTGTCACCGAGAATGACTTAGAACACCTATTGCATCTTCTGGAGGGGAAGGATGGACAGACGGAATGGCAGTGTCTGATGGAAAGATCAAACTCAAACATGAGATACCAAGCTTGGCGCCATGAGCCTCAGGTATATTCAAACTGTGTTTCACTGCTGAAACTGCCTGTGAGAAATAATTTTGTGGTTTTTATTCAACAACCATACTGTATGCTGGGATTGCTCTTCATGGAGCTTATGAATATTGCAAAAAGTTTTCCAGCTTAGTTCCCTTGGCACTGTGTGCCTAGCATGCATTTTCTAACATGTTTGTGTAGGCCTTGTTCTATGTTAATGCTCCTTTAGTAGCCTTGCTCTCTTCAAATCATGTAGGAAATAGCAATGCTAGATAATGATGTTGAGAGTAACACATATTAGTACCTGGTGGTGATTTTTTCTATCAGGAAGGTCCCACTGTTTACCGAAGTAGAACTGTCTTTGAGGATGCAACTCCAGAGTTGGTTAGAGACTTCTTCTGGGATGATGAGTTTCGACCTAAATGGGATCCGATGCTTGCTTACTTCAAAATACTTGAAGAATGTCCTCATACTGGAAGAATGATTGTGCACTGGATAAAAAAGGTCTGTATAAATTGTGCACCAAAGTTCTATTTATTGATATCCTGTTTCCACTTTCTTGTTTGAGCATGTTTCATTGATTGAGAAGAGGTTTGCTTCTCCAATCTGCAGTTCCCATTTTTCTGTAGTGATCGAGAATATATCATTGGTCGAAGAATATGGGATGCTGGGAAGACATATTATTGTGTGACCAAGGTACTGATGCAGATATTTCATAATTGTTGTTTGTGTTGCCTTTTGTCCTCGTTTGTTTCTTTCTTATTCTTTTCAAGAGTAGGCCCCTATCTGTTTATGAAGGAGGAAGAGTTTGATTGGAGTTCTATGGTTAGTTAAAAGATGAAATAAAGGCGTTTGGTAGCATAGAGGACTTGCTGATGATATATGAAAACTTGATGTGTTCTTTGTTGCCTATGTCAATTCAATCATTCCTGTACATGGTGGTGTATTGGCAATTAGATTGATATAACATTTAAATCTCCCCTTTTAACCTGGATCTGAAACTTTTCTTCTTTGTTAATGTAGTCTTACTTTATCTAGCATTAGATGTTACCATGCCAATCTTTGTTGACATGCAAATCTACAACATTGCACAGGGGGTGCCTTATCCAGGCCTGCACAAGCGTGACAAGCCAAGGCGTGTTGACCTTTATTTCTCTAGTTGGGTGGTTAGGGCTGGTAAGTACTGCTGTTGGTTAAACAATCTTTTTTTTTTTTTTTTTTCACAATTTCACGGACTTTTTCACTGAAAAGCAATGTTGCATTTTTGCTTGTCTCTTTGATGCATGCATACAGTGGAATCTCGTAAAGGAGATGGACAGATGTCTGCATGTGAGGTTACCCTTTTACATTATGAGGACATGGGGATCCCCAAAGACGTGGCAAAGTTGGGGGTTCGTCATGGGATGTGGGGAGCTGTCAAGAAGCTCCATTCTGGCATGAGAGCATACCAGAATGCGAGGAAAACAGAGGCTTCGCTATCCAGAAGTGCGCTTATGGCTAGAATTACCACAAAAATTTCTTTTGATGAAGGCATGGATGCTTCAGAACCAGTTATCGTTGAAGAGGATAATAGTCAAGCTGTAGATATCCAAAGACACAATGATAACGGCATCGATTGGAAATGGATAGCTATAGGCGGAACAGTAGCACTGGTTTACGGTCTTCACTCTGGTGCAATTGGGAAGGCCTTGTTACTTGGAGCAGTGCAAAGAATTGCACGGAGGTGAGAGTTTTCAGATCAAGGACCTCATGCACCTATCTATTCGTTCCAAGGATTTGTGAAATTTTATCCACGTGTTATGAACCAATATTTATCGAAGATCAACGATTAATATTTTTCTCATGTTGTCTTTCATTGGATTAGAATCTCGTGCTCCCTTCCCCTCTAAAACTTTCATATTGGATCATCACTGAAGATGCCTATGAATTATCCAATTTCGTTTCTTCTGAAAAGATAGCGAGTATGGGCCTAGTGGGGGGTTTTGGATTTTCACAAAAAGATATCGAACTCTGTAACACCAGCAACCTAACAAGGAGGCCGAGAGGGTAGGGCAATGTACTGTTCTTTACCTTGGATTTCTATCACAATGCATGGTAGAATTCTCATTCGATTCAGGGCTTCCTAATATTAATATTTAAGGTTCACAAATTTTTTCACAATTGCATAATTGCATAACTTAAAATCATTTCATTTCCATCCTCGGATAAAAATCAACAAATGCATAAATCAAATCTAAATCCATTCATAAACCTCAATCTATCCATATTTGAATTAACTTTGCAATATTTCTATAGGTAATATAAACATTTCATTATTCTTCAATTTTATAAACATATATAATTTAACACATCAAAATAACCTAAAGTTCACCATTTACATCCCAAAATGGTCGAATCTAGACAACACAAAAAGTGATCGAAACTTAACAATTGTTTAGCCTTCATATTTTAAACCTAGACCTATAATACTTAATTTGGCAAACTTTATAACTTACGGCTAGCATCCTCAACGCATCTATAAGTCCTTAAGTATTGCTTTGTTCACTTACACCACAAGACAAAATAGTGAGTAAAATCTCGGTAAATATAACCATACATGAATGCAATTAAAACCATCATTTTCATACTTGGAATATATTTTTTTTCTTTCGGGCATACCCTCTTATATATATATATACTCATCCTTTAGAACTCGTTGTCAAGAAATCCATAAATATAATTTAACACATCAAAATAACCTAAAGTTCACCATTTACATCCCAAAATGGCATCCTCAACGCATCTATAAGTCCTTAAGTATTGCTTTGTTCACATAAACCATAAGACAAAATAGTGAGCTAAATCTCGGTAAATATAACCGTATATGAATGTAATTAAAACCATCATTTGCATACTTGAAATACATTTTCTTCTTTCGGGCATGCCTCGCTGAATATATATATATATATATATATATATATATATATATATATATATTCACTCATTTAAAACTGTCATCAAGAAATCCATAAATATAATTTAACACACCAAAATAACCTAAAGTTCACCATTTACATCCCAAAATGGTTGAATCTAGACAACACAAAAAGTGGTCGAAACTTAGCAATGGTTTAGCCATCAAACTTTAAACCTAGACCTGCAGTAAATGATTTGGCAAATTCCGTAGGTCACGATCAGCATCCTCAATGAATTTATAAGTCCTCAAGTATTTGCTTCATTCACCTACACCACAAGATAAAATAGTGAGCTAAATCTCTGTAAATATAACCATGTATGAATGCAATTAAAGCCATCATTTCCATGCTTGAAATACATTTTCTTCTTTCCGGCATACCCTGTTGAATATATATATTCACCCCTCCTTTAAAATCATCATCAAGGAATCCATAAAAGCAATAGATATATTGATTCAATGAACCTCACAAAGGATTGATCATTCCCTTTTGTTCCGCTTGAACATGTCTAGCCATGATCAATGTCCTTATAAAACCATAATCATGCCCTTACTTGAATGCTTAAAATCATGACATAAGATATTTCATAGTGTGAATGCAATTAGAACATAAACACCAAGCATATATATATATATATATCATATTGCATTAAGCCATTCATGAATACAATTCATATGACATGACAAGGTTGAAACTATCAAGCCTAAACTAACAATGAACACAATCCAAGCAACCTCAATTAGTTATTTGATTCGGATTCATCAATCCATAATAACATCAAGCGAGTTTCACGTGCATAAGCCAAAACCCTCATGTGAACACAAACATATAATTTTTAATTAAACCTACCTAAGTCTGAATCATCCAAGAACCAGTTATTCAATTATCCAATAAATACCTAAACATATGATCAAGTGATATCAAGTAGTTACCAACATAATTGAATCATCATCAATTAAACACATGCTCAAATGCATAATCACTAATTTCATCCATATCAATCACCATAACCATGTATATTCATCAATTAAGATTAAACCAATAATTAGTCACAATCCACATGACATGACAAGATTGAAACTATCAAGCCTAAACCAACAATGAACACAATCCAAGCGACCTCAATTAGATTAATCTATCTATAACAACATCAAGCAATTTCATAGACATATGCCAAAACCCCGTGTGAGCACAAACATACAATTTTCAATTAAACCTACCTAGGCCGAATCATCCAAGAACACCCTAGTTATTCAATTATCTAATAAATACCTAAACACATGATCAAGTGGCATCAAGTAGTTACTGAAATCAAAATCATCCAAAAGTCACCAACACAATTGAATCATTATCAATTAAACACATGCTCAAATGCACAATCATTAATTTCATCCATATCAATCATCATAACCATGTATATTCATCAATTAAGATTAAACCAATAATTAGTCACACTACTCAAACCTTATAATTTCTAAGTCTTACATGAACACCCACATTATCCGTGCTCAATCATCAATTAAACACATACTCATCATTAATAGAATAGTTAATTATCAACTCAATGTTTACCTAACAACATTATAATGTAAAGTCATCATTTAATACCTCACCCAAACCCTAGAACCTCTAAGACTTACTTGAACACAACATTAAATACATTCAATCAATAATTAAATACATGTCAAAACCAGGGGTGAGGAAACAATTTTTCGGTTCGATTACTAATAATTTCGGTTCGATTTTTAGTCAATCAAACACAATAAATTAATAATCGAATAAAAAAAAACTATTATTTTATTATTAATTTTTTATTTTAAAATTTTTTGATATTAAATTTTGGTTTCTTGGTATTAATCAAAATTATCAAAAATTGTTACTTGGAGACAAAAGTGCTTAAGGCTTGCTTAAGGCAAACCAAATGAAAGTGATGCATGAAGCACCGGTTCAACTCCTCACAACCTTTGATATTTATAAAGCTTTTGGACTCATTCTAGTGAGTTATTTTTACATGTGGGATGAATTGTATGTTGTTTAATTTTTGTTAGTGAGATGTCTATTTATAAACTTTTCGGACTCTTGAAATATTGTTCTTTTTCGATGTGGGATTGTGAGTTAAAAACTCACCTTTTCAACATCTTTTATCAATCAATTTTACTTTTGAAGTGTGAGGGTTGGCTTATAAATAAAGCCGGACTTCATCTCCTTCTTTTGTTGGGTTGTGGCAAGTATAGAGTGGGCTTTTAGGTCTTCAAATTTTGTGTCTTCTTGTAGGATGCTATTGAAGTTCTAAAAGTCCTAAATTATAAGCTAATTTTTATATAAATAAAATAAATATAGATGTAATGTTCAATTTTCGATGACATCGATTAAAATTGTTTAGAAATCGAAACCGAAATAAAAAATCACTATAATTTCGGTTCGTTTTTTAAAAGAAAATTGAAATGAAAAACTCGAACCAAAATAGGTATTTTGGTTTGGTTCGATTTGATTTTTTTATATTTTAACCGAAGTTTGCTCACCCCTAGTCACAACATCACAATAAACAATTATTCATCAATTTTATAACCTAAGCATAAATTGAACACAAGTCATTCAATTGCACACATAGAAACCCAAGGTTTCACATGAACACATATCGACTAAATCATCAAATCAACACATGCAAACTCTAAGTCTTGCGGTGAGATGAAGTTACACTTACCTTACATTTAATTGAAGTAGAAATCACCTTAAAATCCTTTGAAATCCCTTCGCTCTTCCATGTTCTTCCTCTCGGCCAAATTTGTCCAGATTTGGCTCTCGACCAACTCTCTTCCTCTTGGCCAAAATCTCTTTCTCTCAACTAAGTTGTCTTCTCTGGCAATTTCAGCATCTTCCATTGCTTCCTATCATGTTAATCGAGGCTTCTCTCAAGTGTTTGTCTCTCTTGCTCTCTTTCTCTCTTAAGTGTTCAAGTTCCTTTTCAAAAAGATGGAGGCAAATTTAAATCCAAAAAGAAACTCTCCCTTTATTTCCCTTTCTTAGTCGAAACTTATGGATCAAAGTAGCCTTAATGAGACACATGTCCTAAGATAGTTGGTTCATACCTGCATATTCTTAATTTAGGTTGAACATTTAATTAGGAGATTATTTCCTAGATTAATTCATGTTTAGAACACTAACTAAATTTTAATCTTAAATTAGCACATATGTGAAAGCATTTAATTAAGCTATATTTTCTAAGTAATCACTTGTAGGGTTGATTATTTGGTTTCTCGTTTCGTTTTGGTTTTCGATTAATCAAATTTATTGAAAAAGAAACCGAACTTAAACCAAATTAGTGTTCGGTTATTCAGTTAAAAAAATCAAAAATTTTGGTTTGGTTAATCGATCAAAAATGATTTTTTTTAAAAAAAAAGCAAAAAACTTCAAAGAGAAAATCAAGAGGGAACCGGGAAGTCAAAGCGGGAGACTTCTAGGCTATTTCTACTACTTTTTCTTGTTGAAGTAAAAAACAATGTGGGAATTAACTAGTAACTACTTAAAGAGTATATTATATGTATAAGGGAGAGAGGATCGGAGAGAAAATGGTGGTTGTTTAGCCGATTAAGCTTTGTCTTGGTATGGTAATGGACAATAATTAAAATTCTAGGCTATTCTTTTCTTATTTCTTCCATAAGTACCGTTGCTCGTAATTCAATTGCATAGTTTGTTAACTAGTAACACTAAAAAATAATTGAAGGAAAACCTACCATTGATAATAATTTCCAAAAAAAAAAAAAAAACCAAAA